CGCCCAGCTGCCGCGCCCTCGCTGGGGACCACGGGCCGAGCCAGGCGCCCGTCCGTTTGTGCCGCAGACCCCGGCCTGGCTGGAGCAGATGATCGCGCACACCACGTGGAGAGACCTTTTCTACAAGCTGGCCGAAGCGCATCCAGACTGTTTGATGCTTAACTTCACCGTCAAGGTGGGTAGAGCGCGGGCCGCAGGGGCTCACTGAGCGGCCGTTCCCGCAGAAGGTCACGTTTACGTTTGGGTGAAGTCCTTGTCATCTCTCCTCCTAAGTTTTCCTTCGAGGGAGGAGAGCCCAGGGTGCGTGTCTGGGTCTGGGCCAGCACGGACTGGTCCGGGGCTCGGGAGAGCGCGCTCCGCAGGCTGCTGCTGGCAGGCGCTTTGCCAGAGTGCCCGTCTGCGTGCTGCAGCTCGCCGGGCCCAGACGGCGCTGTGGGGGGCAGGGCTCGCTCGCGCCAGGCCCACACGCCGCCGCCCGCGGCCCTCTGCACGGCGCGGTCACTGTGGCCGGCCCTTCCTGCTCTGTTTGTGGCAGCTCATTTCGGACGCGGGGTACCAGGGGGAGATCACCAGCGTGCCCACAGCCTGCCAGCAGCTGGAGGTGTTCTCCAGGGTGCTGCGGACCTCTCTGGCTACCATCTTAGACGGAGGAGAAGAAAACCTCGAAAAAAACCTGCCCGAGTTCGCCGTAAGTGCGCGCTGGCGAGCTGGGGCTGGCAGGCTGGCCCCGGCCGGTGCTGCGGGCGCGAGATGCCCCGTGAGCACGAGTCCGGGCGGGAGGCGCCTCTAGCCCTGCCCCTGCCGCCCCTGGGAAGCAGATGGCTGTCCGCAGCCGGCATTGCCGCAGCGGGGACCCCGCTCTCCCTGCCGCTTTCCAGAAGATGGTGTGCCACGGGGAGCACACGTACCTGTTCGCGCAGGCCATGATGTCGGTGCTGGCCCAGGAGCAGCAGGGCGGCTCCGCCGTGCGCCGCATCGCCCAGGAGGTCCAGCGCTTCGCCCAGGAGAAGTGAGAGGCGGGTTCCGCTCTCCAGCCCCACCAGGCGCGCCCCACACGGCCACCTGCAGCCCCACCTGAAGTCTGGGCGCCCCATTTGCCGAAGAGGAGGGCGGGGAGCCAGGGCCGTTTTAAACATACATAGAGATCCTCTTGGACTTCGGTCGTGCTCGGTGAAGGCTGGCTATTGTCCAGCTCACGGGCTTAGAACCTCGTTTTCGTACGCTGGGTCCTGACCAGCGGGCAGCCACCCGCGGTGGCTCGGCAGTCTGGCGGCGTCCTGCGGCCCTGTCGCAAAGAACGGAGGTGGCCCTGGCCCGCCTGATCCCTTGCAGTGGGAGCCTAAGGGCTTGTGAAAGTGCGCTTTCTCCGAAAAAGCCTGTCACCTGTAGTGGAATCATTCTTTCCCAATTAACTCGAAATGCTGGTTTCATGGATCGGTGAGTCAGTGTAGCCGAGAGTGACAGAAATAGGAAAAAGCAGGATCCCAGCAGCTCCAGGGGTTAAGTACGAAGAAAGGAAGGGGAGCAGGTGGGGGGCGGCCGCCGTCCTGACGGAACTGCACGGTTGTCACACAGAGGCCACGACGCCAGTCAGATCACCCTGGCGCTGGGCACAGCCGCTTCCTACCCCAGGGCCTGCCAGGCCCTCGGCGCCATGCTGTCCAGGGGAGCCCTGAACCCCGCCGACATCACCGTCCTGTTCAAGATGTTCACGAGCATGGACCCGCCTCCTGTCGAGCTGGTGAGCCGCTTCCTCCCCCGCCCGCTGCAGGGCCGCCGGGCACGCGCCCTGACTCCGGCACGTCCTCAGCCCCGGCGCGCTGGGCGCTGCGGCGGGCGGGCGGGCGACTTGCCCGTGTGTGTGAGCGCGGGCGTCCCTGCGTCCCTCTCAGCGAGCCGTGTGTCCTCAGATCCGCGTGCCGGCCTTCCTGGACCTGTTCATGCAGTCGCTGTTCAAGCCGGGGGCCAGGATCAACCAGGACCACAAGCACAAGTACATCCACATCCTGGCCTACGCGGCCAGCGTGGTGGAGGCCTGGAAGAAGGTGCGCGGGCCGCCGGGCGGCCACTGGCTGTGGGAGGTGGTGGCCCGGCCGGTGTCCTGTGGTGCGCGACATCGTCCGCGCTGATGTCCCCAGACAGCACGCAGGCGTCTGCCCCGCCCCTGGGCTGACGCGGCGGGAGAGATGCCCCGGCGGGCGGG